GTGTTGTTTTAAAACATTTAATATTATGACCTAATAGGTAAGTCATGAAGTGGACGCTGGAGTGGTCCGAGTTTACTAAGGAGCACGTTAAGTACGTCCAAATTAGAGATAAATAATTTTATTTAGACCAAATGTGCGTAAACCCCCCTTTTTCAGGTGTGTGTGTGGGTGGGGGGGGTAATTACATATCTTCTTAGCAATTCAGATCTGTTCGACCATATGCAGTTGTTTACTTTTTATTAATAATTGTGATATTTACAGCTGGAGGTGAGTTAATACTATTTGTTTAATGGTCTCTTTTGATAAGAATTAGAGTTCTCTTTCTTTCCATTCGCCCATTGTTTTTCCTAAAGGCTAATATACCCCAATTGTGGGCTGTTGCGGCCTGCGAGCTGTACCATATTCCTAACATTTTATTAGGACTATGGGTTTAGTTTAAACTATAGGTTTTATATTGTTTTGCTGTATTTTTCCATATGCTAAAGGCTTCTGTTTTATTCTAGTTTACTTTCTCTCCTGTAGCCTCACTGTACTCATTAACTATGCAAAGACTGCTCTAAATGGCCTGAGACCTACTTAGGGACAGAATGACATCGTCTGCGTGAGAAGCGTATTTTTTTCTCTATTACTGGGTTTTGTGTTATAGAGATGTCCTTAATGTTCTGCCATTGATCTGCAGAAGGGAGGAGAGCATCAATTACCAGGGAAAAAAAGTACTGAGGACAGGGGAAAATCCTGTCTTACCCCAGAACTTACAGGATTGTCCCTGGATATAGGTCCATTGACACTGAGTTTTGCTGTGATATCTATGTATACGTTTTTTATCTGACTGATTGTGTTTTTTTTCGGAAGCTGCACTGCTGTAGTATGAACAAGAGAAATTCATGATTGACTCGGCAAACGCTTTTTCTTGGTCAGTTGTGATTACACATACTTCGGACGTTTTACAATTACAGATGCGGATTATATCTCTAGGTAAAGTTATGTTACTACATATGTTACGATTTGGATTACACATACTTCGGACGTTTTACAATTACAGATGCGGATTATATCTCTAGGTAAAGTTATGTTACTACGTTTACAATTTTACCTAGAGATATAATCCGCATCTGTAATTGTAAAAAGTCCGAAGTATGTGTAATCCCGTGTAATCCAAATTGTAACATACGTAGTATCATAACTATGTAACATACGTAGTAACATAACTCTACCTAGAGATATAATCCGCATCTGTAATTGTAAAACGTCCGAAGTAAAATTACCTAGAGATATAATCCGCATCTGTAATTGTAAAAAGTCCGAAGTATGTGTAATCCAAAATCGTAACATATGTAGTAACATAACTTTCAACATTGTATGTTTGTGTGGTACTAATTATTTTGTAATTACTTTTTTATTTTTGTTCCTTAAGCATTTTGTTAAGATTTTGTAATATGTGTTACACAATGTTATTAGTCTATAGTAATTTGGGTTGGCTGATTGTACCTCAATTATACTGTGTAGTGTTATTAATTCAGCCGTAAAAGAGGATAATGACCTATCCTCAATTAAGCACTAGTTTAGCATTTGCACGAAATTATTTTCAATTATACGCCAGTATTTTTTATAGGCCGTCTGGATCTGTTGATTTGTTTGTAGACATGCTGGTTATTGTTTCCCAGATCTCTTGTGTAGTGAGTGTGATTGATAAAATGTTTCTATGAACTGTGTCTTGCGTTGTTTATTTTTTTTTATATTTTGGGTTACTTTTCCCATTTGCTTTTGTTAATTAGGTTCCGAGAGTATAAGTTTATGTAGTGTATGACTGTGGTCTGTACCATACTCATTAGGTCTGGATATTCGTTCACCTTGCTGTTGGTTAATGTGTTTATATATGACCTCTGCCTATTCCCGAAAATTGTTTGTAGAAAAAACTGGAAACATTTTCTTCGCTATACATTGTATATGTTGATGTATTTATTTTTATGTTTCGAATTTATAGTTGTATAGCTTATTTAATCTTGCTCTTTGATAATCTGTACTGATCCTATGAATTTTAAGCCATTATCAGTTGATCTAGCTATTGCTGTGTCTTCTAAGAGATCTATTTCCTTGCTTCTTTTTTCTTGCTTGTTCTTTACCTTTGATTCTGAATATATTTTCTGCAGTGTTGGTTTCAATATTACATAACGTGGTTAGTATATTGCTGATAAATTCTGAGATTTCTGTGTTTTCGAAAAATGTGTTTGTTTGTAGTTCAGCACAAAGTAACACAATGGGTATCTGTGTTCTTCTCACCACGAATATCGATACCCAGTTTCTAGTGTTATAAGTCCGTAGACTTACTGCTGTGACATTGAAGGTCATTTTCGAGAAGGGACATTGAGTTTCCAACGGTCCTGATCCCAAAATGTTATGTTTGGTGGGTTTGTTGTAAAATTAGATGTTCACTGACATAAGTGCCATTCGGAGTTATTCGGGTTTCTTTGTTTTTTTCGACGACTATAGGATATCTCTAGTGAAACAGAATCTTTTCAGTCTGACCTCCACCACACTTCTACTCAAGTTGGTCATTCCAAGGTCGAACCTTTGAATGTGTTGGCAAAAATAAAAAAAGTTCAAATTATCGAATATACGTACGAGTATGTTTATTGTTTTGTCGCTGCTGGTTGCTGGTTTTGTCTTGTAATGGATCTATAATACAGCTAAAATCTCTATTCATGATAATATTATAGGTGCAGAAAAGATAGCTTTCTAGGATCCGAAAGAATTGCCTTCTTGGAGCGTCTTTATCTGGGACATAAGCATTTACTATTCTGACTTTTCCATCTTATAATTTCAATATATAGTTAACATAACTGTCCATACTCATAATGTCTGAATGATTTAATTTTCCCTGAGTATATATATATATATATATCTGTGTGTGGGTTTTGTTGTTGTTTTTTGCATGTGCTTTTGTATCATCTTGACTACTGAAATGTGGTTCTTTAGGAAAAGGATGTCAAAGTTAAGTATATTTATGTAATCTATTGCGAAATTTTGTTTACTTTCTTACTTAAGCCGCTTAGTGTTTAGGTTAATGTATTTAGTGTTACTTAGACAGTAAGCCTATTTGAACATGCACTCTTAGTGGTAGAAAAATGAAAACTTATTTTTTAGGTAAGCCAATCAAACCTGTGGATCAGAGTTAGGATGATCCTTTCTATTTTTGGTCCGCTTTTGTGAGACCGAAATCGATGCCGAAGAGGTCGGTTTTGTTCTTTTCTGCCTGGTCGATGATTATGGGGCCTTATACCAGATGGGGAAGTTTCACTGAGGCCCATCTCTCTGGGCAACATGTCTTTCTAGACTTCTGTTGTGTTGTGCCTGTCCGCACTCTCTGTTTCATCTATTTGCTCGCCTATTACTAAGTTTTTACTTTAAGAGTCAGTTGCTTCTTTAGGTCGTTCTTCCAGGTTCTTGATCTCTTTTGTTACTTTGTCTTCGTTGCTTCTCTCCTCGAGGACGTCTTCATTAGGTGCTGTGGGAGCTGCCTCCATGATCGAGGCAAAGGCCTGAACTTGGCATGTGTGAAAAACCAGAGAACTTAAATACAGATGTGATCCAGAAAAATGAAGCATGGCATATTATCTCCCAAGCTACCGACAAATTTCATGTAAATGTCGTGATCATAAGTGTCATAAAAGCTCATTGCACATGTGCTCCAATCTCTTTCAAACCGCAAACCTGATGTAACAATTTTCCGTTCTTGGTTTTTCTTGTTTTGTTGTGCACTGTGATGAGTTTCTGTTATAATTTTACTAGTTTCTCTAAACTGTTTTACAACGTATACGTTTCTTTTATTATATTATAACTTATATTATCATATACTTCAGCATTTGTTTCTTGAGATTTTTGTAATAGATTTCTATTTTTCTCAATAAATATATGAATTGTGTTTCGATTTTGATGATTTTGTGTTTCATTGGCCATGATTTGTTTTATCTTAAGTACCTTAATTTTTAAATGCCTTTTTTATATAAAATTTACGTATTTTATGATCACTTTGAACTATTCTACATTTTATATTAACGAGCTTAGACGAAAACAAAATCTCATTATGTCACTGTTGTATTATGGCGTGTTGTTATTCCTTTTTTCCACTTATCTAATAAGTAATTATGTTAAATGTAAGTTTTACTTTCGTTGTGATATCTTTGTGATCTTACAATAATATATATTGATTTGTAAGCTACTGTGTATTATTGTTGTTATTTTGGAGCTGTATTAAAATAATTCATGAGTTTCAAGCATTGTATTTAGTGTATTATGTTTTGTTCTGAAATATGATTATTATGTATATTTTCTATTTGATTATCATTCTATCTTCAACTTATGTTATGATTGTATTTACGTTATATAATGAATTTGTTTTATTTTTTTCTGTATAATTAGAATTCTGTATACAATGTATGTTTTATGAAAAGTTTGTCTGTTCAGGTTCTATTGATTATTGATTTCTTTATTAAAGATTTCGAGTACTTGGGTTGTAATTTTATTACTTTTTATGATTTTGAGTCCATTGTAATATGACGTATTTTAGTTGTTTGTTTTTTGTCTAATTTCCTTCCTTTTCATCAGCAGCTTTACATAAGTGATAGCTATACTTGAACCGTGGGATATTTTACGTGTCGCATAAAGTTCCATTCAGATTGAAAATACCCTATATCTTTATACATCTCCATAGACATCTACGTACGTGCTTGTTAATGTATTGATCTGATACGTTTTGTATAAATACACGTCTATAAAAGAACTGACATTTGTCCACATTTCAAAATCATAACTTCACTAAAATCTCAGAAAACAACAAAGCACGGATATTTTTAACGGAAATAGAATTTCACTAAAATCTCAGGAAACAGATATTTGAAATGAAATTAGATTAAGCATGATGCTTTTACTATGTCTTTTGAACTGTAATATTTATGTTTATATAAGCAACAGAATTATAGAAATAATCTCTTTCCTTCCAGAGTCGCCCTTGTCTAGAGTGGACTTTCAACGTGATCGACGACTACTTAACTTAAAACTACTTCAAACGAATTTCCATCAAGAAAATCATGAAGATTCTCATCCTCAGGATTTTACGAAAATCGGAGGTATAGCGCAATGCTAACCTATGAGAACTTGACATAGAGCAGAGTGTTGCTCTATAAGAAAATGACATAAAGCCAGTGTCTTTCCATAATAACCTGGCGCAGAGCATATTATTGTTTCGTGAGAACGTAACATAGAACATGTTATTATCCCGTAAAAACGTGACATAGAGCACAGTGTTGATAATTTTAGTCGACTGCAGTGCGGTTTACAAAGGTAAGCTTATTTCCATTACCTTTCGAGTTTCAAAGATAGTGCCGGCATACTGATGCTTCTAGGAACTACATCAAGGTATTTGTCGATAAAAAGCAAAACAAAAAAAAACAATGTATAGTAGCCTTGATATATGCTTTGAAAAGAGTTTCCCGCGAAGCTGAGTGACTTTATTTTAGCAAAGTGCTGATAGATAAAAGTCATCAACCACGGGAACGTTGTGGTACCTCTCCAAAGGGCGACTGTTCGCCTTGTGCGTGTCAGTTTTTATCGTGTCATTCTGCCTGGTGGCGCACATGCTGTACATGAGGTACCTGAATGACCCAACCTTATGCATGGATAGCTACCAGGACGACGAATCGATCAATTTTGACAGCTTGAGGGAGAGAATCAAACTTCCTCAAACTAAGCGGCGCCTGCCCCAGTGTCTGATCATTGGTGTACGAAAGGGCGGCACAAGGGCCTTGTTGGAGTTTCTCAACATACATCCCATGATTCAGCGGTCGACAGATGAGATTCACTTCTTCGATAACGAAAGAAAATACAATATGGGTCTGGAGTGGTATCGCCAGCAGATGCCTTATTCATTTGCCGACCAAATCACTGTAGAAAAAAGTCCCGCCTATTTCATCACTGAAGGAGCTCCCGAGCGAATCCGAGCCATGAACGAAAGCATCCGACTTCTTTTAATCGTACGCGAACCTGTAACTCGACTCATTTCGGACTATTCTCAACTAGCCGCGAACAAAGCCAAAAAGGACAAATTCATACGACCTTTCCGTGATCTTGTGCTTAGAGAAGATGGGAAAATTAACACTGATTATCGAGCCGTAAGGGTTAGCATGTACTCTCTTTATATTAAAATGTGGCTGAGCATCTTCCACCGGGATCAGATTCTAATTATCAACGGAGACCGAATGATACAAGATCCTTACCCAGTGATCTATAAAATAGAACAGTTTCTAGGCTTAGAACATCGTGTCGGAAGAGAGAATTTCTTTTATAATAAAACTAAAGGTTTTTACTGCGTTAGGAATTACACTGTGTACAAGTGTCTCAACGAAAGTAAAGGGCGGAAACATCCGACGATTGATCCAGAACTGATTTCCAAACTGAGACAGTTTTATTCCTCGTTTAATCACGAGTTCTACAGCTTAGCAAGACAAGACTTTGGCTGGCCTGATGAGTAACACTTCTTGAAATAGACTTCAGATTATGTATGTACATGTCATATTAATGTTAAGTCTCGCGTGATATATCTAAAAGTTAAAAGTTCTGGATAATGTACGAAAAGAAACTGAAAAAAAAGTAACCAAATCGTGCCAAAAATATAATTAGTAATATAAAAAGAAACACAAGATACCACAATAATTCAATAACTGAAGTATAGTTGTGTTTCGGTTTTTAGAGCAAAGTCACATTGGGCTATTTGCTGCGTACACCGCGGGGAATCGAACCCCATAATTTAGCGTTGTAAATATGCAGACTTACTGCTGTCCCATGAAGGGACGTATAGGTTTTGTTTCTTAATATTGTTTAAAGAAAATACGAAAAAAATCATGTAAATAAGCTATATGTTATGTAAAATGTGTTAACAATAATGACATTACTTAACAATACCTCTTTGTAAGTCCGTAAACTTACTGCTGCCCCATAAAGTGACGTATAGTTGTTGTTTCATGATATTGTTAAAATAAAATACGGAAAAAATCATGTAAATAAACTATATATTGTGTAAAATATATTAATAATAGTTACGTTACTGAACAATACCTCTTTGTAAGTCGTAGACTTACTGCTGTTCCATAAAAGGATATTTAGCTGTTGTTTCATAATATTGTTAAAGGAAAATACGTAAAAAATCTTGTAAATAAACTATATATTATGTAAAATATGTTAATAATAACGAAGTTAATTAATAATACCTCTTTAATACTATTTGACGAAGGAGGTATGAAATCAATAAAAGTTTCTTTCAAATGTCTCACAGCATGAAAGGCAACATTTTAATCGCTTTGTTGTTAAAATAAATTGAGCAAAATTTAAACCTGTATTAAACTGAACGGGATAAACTCGTGTAAATACCATCAACAACGTATATGAGCTCAAAATCAACTGGATAAGAAGTTATTGATACAAGCACGCACAACAATTAACATCAATAATACAAATGACGAGTAAGTAAGCTACATAGTCAAATTAGTAGAGACAAATATGGGTATTTACAAATACAGTCTAGGCCAAAAAATTGAGAATAAAATTATTTTCACGTTTGACTTTCAGCTAAATTTCTTTTGGAGACGAAATCCTCTTAATCAATCAACGCAAAAATCCATCAAAAACGTGGCTAACTAAATTTGCTTGTAGCGTGTATAATGAAGCGTGTGTAAATTCTGAACAATTGTCTAAAAATCGAATGTTAATATTTTGTTGGGAGTAACTTTTTCTCTCTAAAGAATTTCATAGATAAAACCGTATTCTAAGATGGTGTTCGGAAGATTAAAAGTGTACGATTTCCAGACTTTAGCAATTCTATTATAAGTATGAGAACGTGTTATTTTGATTATTCAACCATAAAGTTCACATATAAAAAAGTTCAACGTCGGTTTTATTATTATCGAACATATTTATTTTTATTAATATCAAATGTTTGAGTAGAAACAGTTATCCGTTACAACTGCCCCCTAGTGGCACAGCGGTATGTCTATTGACTTACAACGGTAGAAACGGGATGTGGATATCCTGTTGGGTAGAGCATAGATAGCCCATTGTGCAGCTTTGTGATTAATTTCAAACAAACCATTACAATTACGTTTCAGGCAAACACGATATTTTGTTTGTTAGTATAAAGTAATAAATATGACGTATTTTCACTCTTGTGATATAGTAGGAAGCTTTGGTTATTCCTATGTTCTCAAGTTGTAGAAAATCTTTAAAACTCAACAGGTGATTGTTAACATTATGTAGCTTAAATTCGTTTTCGACCTTATAAGTATTTTTGTACATTTTACATTTTGTAAACGTTTCAGTTTGAGTACCTAAAACAGTTATTTCATGCAAAGTAAGTTGTGAAATTATTATTTTGTATTTTGTTTGGTCTTTTAGTAACTTTGCGTTGTTGCTTAATTTTGTTCTTCTTGACTTTAACAACAAGGAAAATGAAATGGAAAGGTGTTTTTATATAAATATTACAAAGTTTTCAAAAATATGGCAGATCTTGATGAGGGAAGTGTTTTGTTATTTAATGTCTTCAGCCGTGACTCTTTCGACATCACAGATTAATATTGTAAATGGTGTTCACCGCTGCAATATTTCAAGACAACGCAACATTACTTCAGACCTCACGCAATAAAACACAAACTAACTTACGGTACTCAAGTATGTTTAAACGGTAAAAATTTTATTACCTAGAAAGTCTCGGAAATATAACAGTTCTAAGTAAATTATTTGTAAGTTGTTGTTAAGCATAAATCTGCAAAATGGGCTTATGTGCTATGTTGATTGCACGAATCAAACCCTGAATTTTAGAGTTATAAGCTAACCGTTCAGCCACAGGAACAGTTGAATTTACAAAAAAAGATAATAAATAAACAAAATATCCGGACACTCTACTCAAGCTTAATCAACCTAAGTTCTATGAAATTTGTAAGTTTCATGTAAATTTTTAGTGGGTCCTAAAACCAGAAGTATATTTCATGATATATATATGAAAAAAGAAGTAGTGTATTAATTGTATTGATAATGAGCCTGTCGTTGACACACAGTGTAATAAAAAGTTGTTTTATAAATTAACAAACGGTTTTCCACAATGCAGATTTTTGTGAAGTACTACATAATTTATTGTTTAAATATATTTACAGCTTGCAGTGTATCCACTGCTAGGTGTAAATTAATTTAAATATTTCTATTCGGTAGAAAAAACTCATTCTTTGTTAATAATCTATTGTTATATCTATATAAACACGCAAGTTATGTGTGTGTACATACCATTTTCATCTCAAAAACGTGTTCATTAGATACACTATTATGTTGCGAAATATCTGACACAACTTTTCTTACAGTGACTCTCACCAGATCTGATCGGTAGTAGCATTGTCCCAGTAGTTTAATTATGAGCAAGATCCTACCAGTAGAAAATATTAAGATGAACCGAAATAAAACAAAAACAAGATACTTTGTATACTCACTAATTTATAAATTTACTGAAAAGCATCTTAGGTGTACATGAGATCCTCAGATGCGACAGTCGAACACTGAATACAATTGTTTTCACTGTTTTCTTACAGAGATTTGTTAGTTCAACATGTTTAAAGTTGTCTAAGTTTTCTTGTATTTCACACAGTCTCTACCGAAAATGCGTATATGATCCAATAATGTACCATATTGTTGCTGACTGTTTATTTATCGTAATTATTCAAATGTTTATGTGATCATAAGTTGACAAAATATTAATCATTGTAGATTCTCTAAAATAATTCAGTATCTTGAAAATTATATATAAATAAATATTCTATATTTCTGGGAAAATCAAGAAAATACTTCTTGATTGCGTGCATTTCTCTAATTGTCAGTTTTTGTGGGATATTTGTGGTATCGTCCACAGGTTCGCAGGCAGATTTTTTTGTTTTTCTTGTCTGAGCGAACAAATATTATCCAAATTACTAAGTACAAATTTGGACTTAAGAAGGAAAAGAAAATTCCTCCAGTTTACTTAAAACAGCTAAAAAACGAAACTTTTCTCAACAATTGTCTTTCTAATCCCTTAATCTAACATTTTGAAAGGATCACGTAAGATGATCTCACTAACAAAAAAAAGTCTGACTTGCTTCGAACTTGTGGATGAGGCCTTATTTTTCAACGTTTGCTCCTACCTCTGGAATGATAACATTCTATAATAATTTTATGGCTAGAAATTTGTAAATAAATGTAAACGTAAGATATATTCTTTTGTTCTACAAATTTAATTGCAAGAATGATAAATAGTGAAATAAAACAACATAAAGTGATTTAAACCATTCTATGGATGCTTTATGTTAAATGTTATTCCTTTATTTATGGCTTTAGAAAACAAATTTTACTTTCATTAATTATTTCCTTCGTTACTTATCCTTTGTTTTGATAATTTAGTGATAAAAAAACATATTTTTGTATTTGTATAGCTCTATGCCAGCAATTATAAAGCTTTATTTAGAGTATTTATATATGCATGAATGAAATGTTTACATGCTAAAGATTTACGTTCCTCGTAATATAAGCTGCTCCATTTTTAAAGACGCTCTTCCTCGTGTTATTAGGCCTTAAGAAAATTCGAAACGCAATATGGTTTGTATATTATATACATGTATATACTGATTATCCATCACATCAACCTTGATTTAGATAATGTGGATGACGTTCTCGGAATATCATATAACAGTGTCAATAAGCGATGCCAGCTCGGTTTATATTGTGATGTAATGATGTGTGTTATGTCAAGATTTATGAACACCCTACTTGGATGTAACCACATATTTCTTAAATGAATACAGAGTACATTTATTACCTTCGTACCTCTCACTGTTGTAACAGTACTTTAAAAATGGCCTGTTTTACTATCGTCTGTTTCTTCTAAAAGGGTTTCACTGTTATTATAGTTATTATAGTTGTGTTTAAGATGAGATTTTTGTTTACAACTTAACTGAAAATATCATGAATTATACGTGTGTGTGTTAATTTCAGGTTTCTAGTAGACTTGAAACGCACAAAATTCCACAGCTTATGTACAATGGCTTTTACCTATATTAATAACACAGGGTATTACGAATGACATAACACATTTTTGTTACTTTTAGGTTTTTTGTACACTTGAAACACTAGACATGTTACAACATATAAGTAAAAACCATTATTACAGAACAGGCATAAGTTAAATTTTAAACATCATTAACACGTTACTCTGATAGAGTTGCCTGGCAAACAGACAGATCAACCCTTACAACTTGCCCATAATGAATGTACAGATAAACCAATTCTTAAGCTTTATGAAGCTTTTCTAAAAAATAACAATAATAAGAAGATTGGTTCTTGAAATTAAATCTGGTTTATTTTGATATTGGCAGAGTATGCATGTTATTCAGTTAAGTTCTCCTGTGCCCTATTTAATGAAAGTAAATATAATTGACCTAATATTCTTGATAAAACATCACACATATTATTAAAACTAGTATTAAGACATCGCACCTTGGTAAAATATTTGTTTCGATGTCTTACTTAGCTCAGCAATTACGGGTTTTGAATCCGAATCACTTTAAATCGATTTCTTTGCCCGAGACAAGTCTCCGTCAAGGAGGAATTTTGTTCACCCTTGGGTTGCACACTAACAAATATGTAGGGAATAAAGCCTGTGTTTTTGGCAGGTGCTAAAATAATCTAGCATGTAAATTAAAAGATAGTGACAACCGAAGATGTGTCTAAAAAAATATTTATTTAAATCTATGTAGCATAAAACTTTAAATTTATACCTGTTACAGAAGCATTGGAATTATTTGATCTAATATCAGTTCGTTAGAAAAATAATGCTAGATGCAGATGTTTTTCCGTTATCTCTCTCAAAAATGAGATTCTACCTACCTAATTATATAACCAGTAAGTAATATTTTCTTTCTTA